ATAAATATAACTTTGCCAGTAGCAGCTGATCTGTGATCAGAACAAAGTTGATGCAGTTGACTGTAGAGTGATTTTGGCCTAGTGTGTATTATAGTTACCTTAATGACATTGAAAAATCCTCTCAGCCTTCTTTTCTTCCTCATCTCCTCCTCTTTCTTGCTGTTCTTCTTCTAATGGTGGTCTCATTTCATCTTAAGACATTACTGACACCTAGTGTTGTAAAACCGTATAAGCATTCAGCAAGGGCACTCAGCTCATGCAGCTTTCGAGCATCTGTTCCACTCGGCTCCTTTTTTCTTTTGCTTTATGTCCCTTTGTCCACAGCTAGCGGTAACGTGCTTTAGCTCTTGCTTCTTGTCGTAGACTGCTCTGTCATCTCATTTTCTGGGCAAGGCTTGAGACTCGATTTGCCAAAGAAATATTAAATATGTGTTTCTCACTTTCTCTTTTATTAGTTACCTGGTAGGAGATGAGCTTTGGGTGGTGATGGAGTATTTGGCTGGAGGCTCGCTGACAGATGTAGTGACTGAGACCTGCATGGACGAAGGCCAGATTGCAGCAGTCTGCAGAGAGGTAAGAAGCCAAGTTTAGATCAGCAGTACTGCCAGATGACCCTAATATTAAGGTGGACTCATGTAGACAAGTTTACGCATTTTACCCAGCCTAGAGAAAAGGACCGTCTACGTCTAAATTTTTCCTGAACACGGACTTTCTTTCGTAGGTGAAGTTAGTAATGGGTTTTTTTTCTCTTCAGTGTCTGCAAGCTTTGGACTTTCTACACTCCAATCAAGTTATCCATAGAGATATAAAAAGTGACAACATCCTCTTAGGGATGGATGGATCTGTGAAGCTGAGTAAGCATTTATTCATTTTATTCAATAAACTTTGGCTTTGGTGAGGAGTATGATCAGGTTTAGAGACACTGTGTTGTGTTAAATGAAAGACTGCTGGGATCAAATAAAAAGAATAGAAATGCACGACTCAATGTTAAAACACCCTTGCGTCTCTCTGTCTCCCTCTCTCTCACTTCCTGCAGCCGACTTCGGCTTCTGCGCTCAGATCACTCCCGAGCAAAACAAGCGCAGCACGATGGTGGGAACGCCCTACTGGATGGCACCAGAGGTGGTGACTCGGAAAGCGTACGGCCCGAAAGTGGACATCTGGTCTCTGGGAATCATGGCGATAGAGATGGTGGAAGGAGAACCACCTTATCTGAATGAGAATCCACTCAGGGTAAGAGACAAAGCACAGCCACAACACGGAGGCTCAGTAGCCGTCTATGGTTCTTACAGTTTACGTGGAGATAAAATATTCGTATGTCTTTTTTCTGCGGTCCTTGCATGTTTGACTGCGATCATCTTTCCAGGCGCTCTACCTGATCGCAACCAACGGGACTCCAGAGCTGCAGAATCCAGAGAGACTATCATCTGTGTTCAGAGACTTCCTCAACCGCTGTCTGGAGATGGATGTGGACCGCAGAGGTTCTGCCAAGGAGTTGCTCCAGGTAAAAACAGAGACTTGAGAAATAAACAGTATGTAGACACGCTACCATCTGCTGCACTTTGACGAATATATCCAACTATGTGAGTGATGTGGTGTAAACGAGCCATAATTCTTACTACTGCACAAAACCAAATTGAGCTCAAAGTGTTGCATTTTGGCGTTCATCATCTTGTTCTTTTAACAAAATTATCTTTTTGGATAGGCAGGTCATGTACTAGGTTATCAACTTTTGTTAGTTACCCTGGAAACTGGATAATGATTCTTGGATAATGATAATAATAATTTCTCTCACCCCAACCGGTCGCAGCATATGGCTGCCCCTCCCTGAGCCTGGTTCTGCCGGAGGTTTCTTCCTGTTAAAAGGGAGTTTTTCCTTCCCACTGTCGCCGAAGTGCTTGCTCATAGGGGGTCGTATGATTGTTGGGTTTTTTTCCTCTGAATGTATTATTGCAGGGTCTACCTTACAATATAAAGTGCCTTGAGGCAACTGTTGTTGTAATTTGGCGCTATATAAACAAAACTGAATTGAATAGAATAATATGATTCTAAGCGTACTATATTAAATCTACTCTTATGCTTGTTTTAATAATCATAACTGTATTTTTATGATATTGCAACACTCTTTGGATTCATAGGTACATTTTAAAAAATGATTTTTTGCATTTTCAGCATTCTTTCCTCAAGTTGGCGAAGCCTCTATCCAGCCTGACGCCCCTGATTGTAGCTGCAAAGGAAGCCATAAAGAACAGCAGTCGCTAAGGATGTGCTCTCTGTCCGCACCCGAGGCTGGAGCCCCGCCTGCGATGAGTGCTTTCATCACATCCAGGGGCTTGGGTGTATGGGTGTATGGGGGGCGGGTGACGTGACAGTGACAGCACAAGGAGGGGTTTGTGTGACTTACAGTGACAGCACAAGGACAAAAGACCCCCAGGCCTCAAATGTAGGATGGACATCTGGCCTTGCAGCGTCTCGGCCCATGCTGCTGAAAAGACCTTGTCTCCCCGTTTACTCCTCCAGCACTCTGTACATGTAGAGCAGTCTATCACAAGTGTGTGTGAGTGTGTGGGTGTGTTGGCCTGCGTGCGCGTATACAAACTGTGCACATTTCTTTGTGTCGTACGTCCTGTTTGGGAGGCGGTTGCTTCCCAAACCGAAAAAAAAAAAACCATGAGAAAATTGAAAAGAAAGCGTGCTCATTTTCAAGAAGAGGCTCCAAGAGCGACGAGGAGAGACAAAAAAACTAAACTTGAAGAGCCTGAATTTCCTTCCCTGGCAAGCTTTAGGCTTGATTATCCCTCCTCCAGTCCTTCCCTTCATGGTGCACCATCGGGCCACACCTGCACCTGCAGGGACTGGCTGATGTGAGAGCGTGATTCTGGACCCAGCCTTTGCCTGCATGACTACGGCTCTGTGGAAAAAACATAGCTACTCCTCTGCAGACTGTCATATCTCAAGGTGGAATATTTTTGCATTTTCTGTGTGTCTGTGTGTGTGTTTGTAAATGCGTGTAGTAGGGGTGCCACTACAGGGGAAAAAGTCAGGAATAATTTCACATGACCTATGCCAGCTTTAAACACCCTTTATTAATCCATTTCATATCGGTGAAGAGTTGGAGTTGGCGATGGTTGCCTGAAGTTTTGGCTGTTTCCTGTTGCAGACACACATGATCACTGATGCCAGAGCCAGAGCTGTGTGCTTGAGATGTTTATATTATGGAGATCTGTCATTTACTCATCCTAGAAGATGGTCATCTACAGTAAGTTGGAGGTCCAGCACCACACTCAATCACACCCAAGGATGCCCCAAGAATCACAGTGTCCTTAGTCAAAATACACCCAACAAACAAATGCTGTGAACAAAAAATATCTTTATCCAATTGAAACTGACAAACACGACATAAAGGGAAAGTACTTCAAATGCATGTGTTGTGTCCAATGAGCCACTGACCACCAGCTGCCCCTCCTTCCTTCCCTCCTTCCTTCCGTCCTTCCTTCTTCCTTTTTGTACTTATGATGCTGCTCATTCATTCTTTTTTCCCCCCTCATTTAATTGGATGTTATGCAAATTCTTTCCGTGATATTTACATTTTATCACCTTGTGGGTGTGCGTCAGATCAAAAAGAGGGGGATGTTATCAAGGGAGTGAAGCAGGAAGCAGGGAGTGCCATTTTACGATTGTACCTTGCCCTATAGCGCTGAAAACCCTAGCCGAGGTTCACATTGATCGCCATCATTCCTTCCATACTGGGTTTGCTTAAACTCACTCCTCTGTACAGAAGTTTAGATTTTGTGTCTGTATTTGCTGCCTTCATTGGACATTTCCCATGTAGCATCTCCCCCCCGTGTGTGTGTGTGTGCGTGCGTGAGTGTGTGTGTGTTAGGGGGCTACCTCAATCTGCACTAGAAGATGCCTCACTCGTGTTGTCCACCTTGACTTTGAGGTGCAGGGTAGCTGCTTAGTCATATTGTACCTCCACTGTCCAGCGCAGAAGATGGAGTGACGTGAGACAGGAGGAAGCAACAGAATCCATGCATGTAAAACAAACTATACACTGTATGTCATCTTCAGATAGGTTAAGATTGTTAGGATATGTATGTATGTAAATACGACGGGAACCCCCACTTTTTTTTCATAACTATGTAACTTAAAACGACAATATTCAGGTTGCTCTGTGGTATGTATCAATAATTGTTTTGCACCCTGGAAATAGAAGAGAAAAAAAGAGAGAAAAGCAAACACACAAACGCCGTCTCTGCACTCCTGGATCCACCTCTCCTGTTTGGGCTTTATAGGACACTCCTTCATCCGGACAGAGAGCCGATGAATGCAGCACTCTGTGTGCGGGCCCACACAGTCTGTCCTGAATACCACTGCTGAGTGTTTGTGCGTGTGTGTGCGTGTGTGAGTGCGCGTGGTAGGTGTGGGTGGCCTGTTAGGAAGCTTCGCCAGCCCTGGGACATCTGGCCTCTGCCCCATGTACAGGTCTGAACTATGAGCACAAAGGTGAATTTCGGGACGAGAGACACCGCCGACGTGCCCCCTTTTCTGTGGTTGCTCCTGTACATTCCTATCTTCTGAATGTGTAAACCTGTACACGTGGTGTGAAAATTCCTCTATTAATGTCTATCAAGAGAATGGAACAAAGACAAAAAATGTTACTTTTTAAATTATTATCTTTATTATTATTATGATTATTATTACTACTACTCTTATTATTGTCTAGCTTTGTAAAACTGCTGATCCATCTGGCATACCTCAGCAGGCCTTCCCCCATCTTTGGAAAAGGACAAATGAGTGAAGGGGAAATGAGGTTTTGGATAAACTATTTTTAATTGTGGTTGAAGCAATAGACTTTTTGAACTTTGAATTGTGCATGGCTGTGTCTTGAGTGTCCAAAAAACAAAAAAAAAAACTGAAGGAAAAAAAAACAACAAAATATTGCAGTTTGGGAACTGGACTGAAATAAAAAGAGGAAGAAAACCAGAGTCGTAGCAGTGTTTGGTCTTAGGATTTCTTTTAATTTTTGTTCCATTGAGGATTTTCTTAGTACTCATGAGAACGAACCATGATTGTAAACTGCTGGAGGAAAGAAACGGAAGAGGAATGCATACGTGTAACACCAGGTGTAGCATGTAACACGTTACTCTGCAAAAAGGCGACTGTACAGGCCGCGATCTTGGTAACTGTGAGGCCTGAAGGACAAATACTGCCATGTTTCTCACAGTGTCGTATCAGAATAATCGGGGTTACAAACACATCAAAATAAAAACTTTATATATAAATTATAAAAGCATGAATTAAAAAAAAAAAAGATCAAAAGTAACGAAAAGGGAGAGATTTTCAGTTTGTCCCATAATTCCCTGCTCACATAAATTCACCTTCATACAAATGCATCCCGCTGCTGGTTTTGATGCTTGTCAAATAAGTCAAAGCTGAGAAAGGATTCAGCCCTCTCTCCGGTCATATGGCAGTCAGCTGAACCGAGGTGACGATCCTTAGGCCGATGGTGCCGGGCATCTGCCGTCTTTGATCTGTGAGCTGAAGCCTCTGAGGTTCGGTGGGGTCGTTCACTGACCCGGACAACACGACTTGGCCCATAAATTCATCCTTCACTGCGTTGCTGTTCCACACCTGAGGAGAAACAGTCAGTTTGAAATATATTTATCTCCACACTCTAAAATGTAATGGCAAAACAAATGTTTTCACTCATTAAACAGATTAGGAATTTAAGATTTGCACACGCAGGATGAGACTTGGTCCAATATGCAAATTAGGCTAGTGGTGTAAAAAAAATGTATTGTTGTTGTTTTGGCTTTTATGAGCAGAGACGGCACTTAGTTTACATTTGATGCAGAATTGTGTGTAAGACTTCAGGTAAATTGAAAGTTTATTCACTGTTAAAAGCTGGGAAATTTGTTTTCTTATGCTCTTGAAGCCTTTTACAAACTCTTTAATGAAAACTTTACAGTCTTTGAGATTAAAATAACGCTGATCTCTGAAAAGCACACATGTCTGAGAGACATAGTTTCAACCGGACAGAGGTGAGAAATCCCTTTGCTCCACCAGTCACTGAGAATAATTCCATTAAGCAGGACTAATGAGATAGACTGCATATTACCTGCACAGTTATGGGCTTGCTCAGCTTTTTCCTGTAGAAAACACCGCTAGTTGCAAACTCTGGGTTTAAGGTGTCCTTGTGGATGGTGGATTTGACTGACTTGCCCTCACATGATATGATCACGTAGGGGTCTGCACCTGCGTGAAAGAGAACCAGATTTGGTGGATTAAAGACTCATCACGCTGAACAGAAGTGTTATAGCAGGAAGTTTAACTTGTGGAAAGTCTTCTAACCTCCTGTGCGGTCCTGATTCTGCAGCCCCTCAGCTGAATGTACATAGACATGAGTCACAGCTTGTGGGTAACCAATGATTGAACTCCAGCATTTTACCTGAGGCTTGTCCACTGTCAGCTCCCTGTGAGAGTAGAGAAGAGTTAAGAGTTGGCAATGTGGCCTTGTTCTTACTAGAGGCAAACTGAAAGAGTGGAACAGTAACATTACACCTATGATTCATAGACAAGGCTGAGTGGATGACCTGTATTATTAATGAGTGACTATGAGTTGCTGTGCCAAAAAGAAACAAAACAAAATCTGGCAAAATAAAATATTTGGCCAAGAAAAGCAATAGAAGTTACTGTAAATCACATTTAAATGGTCCCTATTTCCCAAAACACTAATTTGAATGTTTTCTTGGACTAAAAACGTACAAACAGCTGCCATGTCAGTCACTTTCCCAGATAAGTGCGTTATTTTTGGAGTTATTGATATTACATTTTTGTCTGACAAACTCAGCTACACACTGTTGTTGGCTTCACCTCACATCTACGGCACTGTCCTACCTGCAGCCGGACTCCACATCAGTGAAAACCCGGAGCATGAAATCGCCCATCGTAAAAGGCTGGAAGGTGGTGGGGAAGATGACATATCGGCCCTGAGTCAGACTGATCCTCATGAACACTGTCCGAGCATTGATGTAGGTTGACGTATTTACACACTTTTGGGTCAGGATGTCATGTAAACGGTACTTCCTGTTCAGCTCCACCTAGAAAAGAATTTGATATTTTGTGAGCATAATTTACCAAAATCCTGTGCAACACAGTTTGGAGCTACTTCAATAAATTTCAAAGGAAATGCGATTACAAGTGACACATGAAAATATCACCTAAGAAGCATATAGTACGCTCAAAATGAATGCAGCTTGACATACAGGGTGAGCTTGACTGCAAGCTTAGCTTGCAAAAACAATTGATCAAAATAATACGACGTAGCAAAAATATACAAGATTACATAAATTACGTCTACTATACAAACAAATCTGGGTAGCAGAATTTCATTTTTCCCTGTTTAATTTATAGCCATCTTACTTAAAGGTGACTTGAACTCTAATGAACTGCACTTTTTACTGCATGAAGGAGCAAAACCTTCCGCTCCACCGCAGTCAGCTGCATCAGTATAGCAGCAATCCGAAAAAGTACCTGGGCAGAAAAATGACTTTTAAACTGCATTTTGCTAATTTTGTACTTAATTAAACTACATTTGAATTCGTGCCAGAGTCAACGAATACATGTTCTTCTTGTTCATCATAAACTTTAATTGATGCCTTTAAACGGCGTAGTAAAGAGAAGTGGAAAAGAGTTTTCTGCCTCCTGGTGGCACAAAATAGAAACAATAATTGAATTTTAACACGCGCATTACTGTGTTGAAATTTTATGGTGCTGATATTCATTCCTGTCCAGAGTTTTGGCAGCACTTCTATCAGCGTGATAATAGTGCACAGTGTGTGTCTGAACTTTGCCATGTCTCTGTCAACTAAAGTCTCATTACAGGAAATGGGCCGTCAGTTTTGTCACACTGGGTTTCATGGTCTCATTTAAAGGTGACAATCTAATCGCAACATGCAGGACAACATCAAGTTTCCTTTCAGTCGATTCACTCGGTACAACACATAAGTATGGGATATCACGCCCTCGCGTGTCCTGGCTGAAGAAACCTTTATTCACGCCTTTACGGCAGATGACGTGTGATGACACGCGCAAGGCCCCGCCCGCACATATAGCCGCTGCCATCACCGTCATCCCTCAGTTCTTACGCTCTTCACCTCGCTGAGAACACCTCTGCTGAGTTGGGCTAGCTAGCTACTGCTAGTTAGCTCCGTTGTCTGCCAACTTGAACCTAGCTTAACTGCCCCTGTTGGTGTTAGCCTCCACCGCCCAGCTGGTGCGTAGGCTGCCCGCGGAGCGCTATTTTCAAGTTTTTCTTGTGCAGCGTTTCGCTTTGCGTTTTGGGAATGGACTCCAAACCGAAGCGAGCAAAGCAGAAATCTTCTGTTCGCCCCTGTCCTCAGGGATGTGGTTTCTCTTTGCACGACAGCGACCAGCACGATGCCTGCCCTGTCTGCCTGGGGATCGTCCACGCTAGGAGAGCGTTGACGGAGCCCGAAGCTTGTGCGTTTTGTCGCCAGCTCCGACGCTCGACCCTGGAAAGACGGGTGACGTTTGTGGAAAGAGTGCTGGGACGCTCGGCTGTCGCACGGCATGACCCTCTTCTTTCCGAGTCTGGAGCCCCGGCTTCGTCCGAGTCCGAAGACGAAAATTTTCAGGTCGATGTCCCCGCGATTAGCTGGGCTGACCACATGGAATACGTTGACGGGTTAGCCGATGACGGACCGGAACCATGCAGGAGCGCTGACGGGCTTCAGCCTGGGTTGAAGCCCGCCAGCGCTCCCCAGGAAGACGATGACGTGCTGGACATCGGCCTGGACATCCATGGTTTGTCGGAGGATGAGCAGGAGAGCTCATTGTCGACCCAATATGCCGCCGCTGCTGCGCCGGTCGGCCACGATGACACCTCTCTTTTCTCCCTGTTTCGCCGTGCCGCTGAGAAGCTGCAGGTGGACTGGCCCTCTCCTCCACCAGCTCGGAAGCCGTCGCGGTTTGCGGGTTTTTTCCTTCCACCGGAGCCCGCAACGGCCAAAAACTGCCTCCCCATGTTCCCAGACTTTCTCTGCGAGCTAACAGCGTCATGGGACAAACCTCTGTCTACCCGCGTCACTGTGCCCGGCTATGGACAGTACATGGAATTGGACGGCGCCGAGGGAGCTGGTTTAGCTAACCCACCCCTATGGAGCCGTCTCTGGCTGCTTATCTGGCCCCGTCCCATAACCATGGTGTCGGTGGCCCCGCAACTCTGCCGTCCAAGCACTGCAGATTCTCGGCCTCGCAGCTGGAGAAGATTTATCGGGCTCAGGCCGGCACCGCTCGAGCCATGAGCTCCGTCACCATGCTCCAGACGTACCAAGCAATGTGCCTGGCGGAGCTTGGATCGCTGGTTCCGGAGGACAGCCCGCTGTCACCTCTTCTTAACGAGGTTAGAGTCACCACGGATTACATCCTCCGTGCGTCTCGCTGTGCAGCGCTCTCCCTGGGCAGAGGGATGGCTTCGACAGTGGTGGCGCAGAGGCACCTGTGGCTGACCCTCTCCGACGTCCCTGATAGAGACAGAGCTGTGTATCTGGACGCACCAGTGTCTGCGGCTGGGTTATTCGGACATTCACTTGAAGCCATTCAGGCTAGATTTGATCTGAGGAAGAAGCAGACGGAAGCTCTGCGCGACATCATCCCCAGACGCCAGCCCCAGCCCAAGCCCACTGCTAGCTCTCACAGGCCCGCCGCTCCTCTGACAGCTGGCAAGAGACCGGCGCCCACTGCTGGAGTGGGAGGGCCGCCGGCGAGAGCACGTACTCCGGCCCGAGCTCCACGCCAGTCGGCCTGGGGCAAAGGCCCTCCCCCGGGCCCCGACGGGACCCGACGCCCAGGAGGAAGAAGCCTCAGCCCTCCTAGCTGTGATTGCGAGTGGGGAAGGGATCCGGCAGCAGGGAGACGCTGCTCTTACCCCTCTGTTGCCGCACAAGAGGTGCCGCTTAAGTTCTGTTCAGGTTGTCAGCCCCAGAAGGCGCTGCACTTCCCTATCGCGGTCTCCCAAGCACATAACCCCTGCACACGGTTCAGATGTGTTGAATGTTCAAGCGACCACATCGAGTGTTCCCGCTGTTTTTCATTGTTATGCCCCGGAAAAGGTGCACCCAACAAAATGTATAAATGTACATGTTCCCATGTTGCAATCAATAAAGAGTGTGGTTTACTCTCAAACAATCTCAAATGCTCAACCTGCAGGCGAAATGAGCCAGGTCAGGCAGGGGATGCAGTCCCCTGCAGACACACTGGGGGCGACGGCGCCCCGCCGTCAGTGCTGCAGGCCAGCCGGCTGGCTGCTCACTTCCCTCAGTGGCGCGCTTGCGCCCCTCTCCGTGGGTGCTGCAAACCGTTGCCATGGGTTACCGGTTGCAGTTCCGGGTCAAGCCGCCTCGTTTCCAAAGAGTCGTGAACACGATTGTCAACCCCGAGGCAGCCTTGGTACTCAGAGAGGAAATACAGGCGCTATTACAGAAGAGAGCAATACGGGTGGTCCCCGCTTCGGAGACGGACAAAGGTTGGTACAGCCGTTATTTTGTCATTCCGAAGAAAGGGGGAGGGCTTCGTCCCATCCTCGACCTGCGAGTCTTGAACACGTACCTGCGAACGTACAGGTTCAAGATGCTAACACTCAGACAGCTCCTGAGTGCAGTCGGCCCGGGAGATTGGTTTGCGACAATCGATCTAACAGATGCTTATTTTCATGTAGCTATACACCCGAAACACAGGCAGTTTCTGAGATTTGCATTCGAGGGCGTAGCCTACGAATACCTAGTGCTGCCGTTCGGGCTGTCGCTCGCTCCCCGCACCTTTACGAAATGTGCCGAGGCAGCGCTAGCGCCCCTCAGGAAGAGGGGCATCCGCATCTTGGCCTACCTGGACGACTGGGCTCTCGTGGCTTGCTCCAGAGAACAGGCGGAGACGCAGCTGTCGCGGGTTCTGTCACACATTCAGACACTGGGGTTCTCTGTGAACTTTCAGAAGAGCTCGCTAATCCCAGGTCAACAGATCGCTTTTCTCGGTCTGGAAATATGCTCTCTTTCCAGCCGCGCACGGTTGTCAGAGCACAGAGTGGCCGCGTTTCATCGCTGCCTCGCTCAATTTCAGCTGGGACGCAGACTGCGTTTCCAGACGATATTGCGCTTGTTGGGCATGATGGCATCTATGATCGCCGTAGTGCCGCTTGGGCTGTTGAAAATGAGAGCGTTTCAACGCTGGACTCTCTCTCACCGTTTGTGTGCTTCGCGTCACCTCCGGAGGAGGCTGCCGGTAACTGCGTCTTGCATGCTAGCTCTCCGTCCTTGGAGGGAGCCCGGGCTACTGCACCAGGGCTCTCGGATTGGGAGGGTGTTGTTTCGCAAGGTGGTGTCCACAGATGCTTCCCTAAGTGGGTGGGGAGCGCTGTGCGAGGGTGCGTCAGTGAGAGGGATCTGGTCCGCGGCTCAGCGCCAGCTGCACATCAACCACTTAGAGCTGTTAGCAGTGTTCTTAGCTCTAAAGCGTTTCCGTCCAGTCCTGCAGGGCCAGCATGTCTTAGTCAGGACGGACAATTCAACAGTGGTGTCTTATATAAACAGGCAGGGAGGAACACGCTCTCTTCCCCTGTTGCAGCTGTCTCGCTCTCTGCTGTTATGGTGCAGTGTTCATTTTCTGACTCTAAGAGCCACCCATGTCCCGGGCCACCTGAACCTGGGGCCGGACCTTCTCTCCAGGGGGGTCCTCTGGTGAGAGAATGGAGGTTACACCCTTCAATAGTGGCTCAGATTTGGGATCTATTTGGCGAGGCGCAAATAGATCTTTTTGCTTCCAGGGTGAATGCTCACTGCCCCCTGTACTTCTCCATAATCGACCACGATGCACCCTTGGGCTTGGACGCGCTAGCGCACCAATGGCCGGACGTGCTCCTGTATGCATTTCCCCCAGTGGAAATGATATCTCCAATTCTGGAGAGGGTGCGTCGGCATTCCCTCTCTCTGATCCTGGTGGCCCCTTGGTGGCCCGCGAAGTCGTGGTATGCAGAAATAATCAGCCTGCTTGCAGCAAGTCCTTGGCAGCTTCCTCTCCGCAGGGATCTCCTCTCTCAGGCGGGGGGGAAGTGTTTCATCCGCGCCCGGATCTGTGGCACCTTCATGCTTACCTGCTGAGAGGTTAAACTTGGTTGCTAAGGGTCTGCCACCTAGTGTGGTAGCGACGATGCAGAGCGCCAGGGCCTCGTCTACTAGAGGCTTGTACGCTTACAAATGGCGAGCCTTCGAGCGATGGTGCCAGGGCCGCCACACTCTCCCATTTCAGTGCTCTATTGTGGATGTTTTGACATTCCTGCAGGAGCTGTTGGATAAAGGCCTTTCGTTTTCGACGATCAAGGTTTATTTAGCGGCTATATCTGCTTGTCATATCGGTTTTGACGGGGTGACACCAGGTGCGCATCCCCTCGCCGTGCGTTTTCTGAAAGGGGTTCGCCGGCTGAGGCCCGTGCTTAAGTCCAGTGTCCCTGCTTGGGACTTGTCTTTGGTGCTGGAGGCCCTTTGTGGCCCTCCGTTTGAACCCGTTGAGTCGGTAGATATGAAACTTCTTTCGTATAAGACCGCATTACTTCTCGCTTTGGCCTCGGCGAAGCGAGTGGGGGACCTTCATGCGCTGTCTGTGCATCCTGCCTGCACACAGTTTTCTCCTGATGGCCGCAAGGTCGTATTGCGTCCGAATGCCGCCTATCTTCCCAAGGTCATGCCTGCATCTTATAGTTCGATGGAGTTTGAGTTGCTGAGCTTTTGCTCCCCTCCTTTTGAATCTGAGGAGCAGAGGAGGGTGCATTCTCTTTGTCCGGTGCGTGCGCTACGCACCTACATTGAGCGCACTCGGGATGTGCGTTTGTGTGACCAGTTGTTTGTCTGCTTCGCTAATCCGAATAGAGGTAGAGCTCTGTCCAGACAGAGGCTGTCCCACTGGATTGTAGAAGCTATCTCGCTGGCATACAGCACCGGAGGTTTTGCGTTGCCCCACGGGGTGGGAGCTCATTCCACCAGGGGGATGGCGACCTCATGGGCTCTTTTTAGAGGGGTGCCTGTGGCTGATATTTGTGCAGCGGCTAATTGGGCGTCGCCGCACACTTTTGTGCGGTTTTATCGGTTGGACGTTACAGCCCCTTCGGTGGCTCATGCTGTCCTTTCTGCTGGGTCTACCACTCACTGAGGATGTGGTGGTCCCGTTCCGGTTCGGTGGCTGCTCTGCGGGGCGTGTATATAGGTCCCATACTTATGTGTTGTACCGAGTGAATCGACTGAAAGGGAACGAATAGTTATGTCTATAACTTCTGTTCCCTGAAGGAGAGGAACGAGGTACAACACAGGGTGGCCCCACTGAGCAGTTGGCTCGGTGAAGAGCGGCTATCGAACTGAGGGATGACGGTGATGGCAGCGGCTATATGTGCGGGCGGGGCCTTGCGCGTGTCATCACACGTCATCTGCCGTAAAGGCGTGAATAAAGGTTTCTTCAGCCAGGACACGCGAGGGCGTGATATCCCATACTTATGTGTTGTACCTCGTTCCTCTCCTTCAGGGAACAGAAGTTATAGACATAACTATTCGTTTTAAACCCGTTTCTGAAACACACCCCAGGTTGTAGTGATCGGCACTTATTGTATCTTGTGTCTGTTTCAGAACTCAGTGTATCCATGTATTTCATACTTTTCAGCTTTTTTTTGGCCTGGTTATGATTTAGCAGACATAACACGTGAGTCCTAAATAATCCCTGCACACTGCTGCACAAGAACACAGGCATCCGAGCCGTCTGAAATCATCACAAAGATTTGAGTTTGGTGTTCGGTTCCACGCTGCTTTTCAGCCTGAAGCAATCACAGAAAGTATGTGGTACCTTTTTGTGTTTAATCATTTATGGTTCAGGCTGCTGAAATGGTCTGTTTTGGTTCTGATAAAACACTCAAGGGGTGTAAGTTGTTGGAAAAAACAAACTTATCACTGTTTGGTCATTAAATGAGAAGAGAAAGTCAATTCAAGCCAGATTTTTTTGACCAAAGTGATGCAGGATGGGGTGAAAAGGCTTTGCTTTTGACCAAAATAAACTGAACTTTGATTAATGTTTTCATTCCAGACAAGAATAATGAGCCGTTCACTAAATGTGGGCCTGCACCGTATTATTATCCCTCATTTCTAGTCCTGCATATTGAGACAATTTGACACATTTTCTTTAGACTTTAAACATTTACAATAGCTGTGAAGCTGTGAAGAAAGTCCCCTCAAACTCAGCACACACAGCAGACATTATTCTGACAAATGAGTATGACATGTTTGGCTATATTTTAAGCATTTCACATCTCCCACAAACACAGTCTTTCCCACATATGGAAGGGTTACATGACACTGTGATACCTTAAAGATGCCAAAGCCAATGGTAAGGTTTTCTCCGTGACCTTGAGGTCTGTGGATTTTCATGTCTCTCTGTTGCAACGAGATGAGGACCTCATCAGTCTCCTTTGTCACATCAAATAAATACTGCAAAAGAAGTTGAAATGGAGTCATCACAGATGTGTACACATACATGAACAGAGGCGATGTAAGGAGAGAGGTCATCCAGAGCCTGCTGTACCTGTGGGTTCTGCAGGAATGTCCGTTTGTGGTTAGCACAGCCCCCACAGCGGTTTAGAAGTGGGTCAGCATTTTTGGACCAGCTGCCAAAGTGCACGTACTCATTCCAAGTCTTATGGACGCTAATCAATGAAGTATTTATGACACGGCACACGTCTGCATCAGTGAAGAACTTGCACCAGTCTGTAAATGACATCCTGAAGATTTGAACAGAATCTATTATTAAAATCTGGAAAAGTGGGATAAACTGTCCTGAAATAGTGCTGTGATTGAGGAAATTCATCACTTACCAGAACTCTCCATCATCTTCCACTGTGATGCCAAGCTTATGCCTCTCTGTGTCACCAACCTTTGCCCATTCCTCAGAACTGGCAAACAAGAATAAAGCAAGGAAGAATGTTTAATGCGCTTACAAACAGCGCACAGATCAAAAGACATTTTTTCATTTTTGGACAATTGCCTGTCTGAGCCAGTAGCAAAAGTTTCCACAGAGACTTTGTAACACTGAAAAAATAAAAATACCTGAAACTCCTTTTATAGATCTCTGTAAAAGTCTGTAAATAGTTCAATCTAAAATGCTGTAACATCCCCGAGTATTAGCCAACAACTTGCCCTAACATTAAATTACATTACAAATTTAATTTACAGACAGATGGAGGTTTTGCCATGAAGAAGTCATTATTTGGCATTATTAGGCTCAGTCATTGTAATTCATTATTATCAGGCTCTCCCAAAAACTCCCTAAAAATGCTTTAGTTGATCCAAAATGCTGCAGTGAGAGTACTGACACAGACTAGAAATAGAGAGTGTATTTGTCCCACATTGGCTTCTCTTCACTGGTTCTCTGTTAAATAAAGAATCAATTAATTCAATTAATTCAATTAATTAATCTTCTCCTGTTATACAAGGCTTGAATAATTATTCTCCATCTTATCCTAAAGACCTTGCATTAGTGTATACCCCATTAGAGCACTTTGCTTTCAGACTGGGGGCTTACTTGGGGTCTCTCAGGTATTTAAAAGTAAAATGGGAGGAGGAGCCTTCACGCCACTGTGGAACCAGCTCCCAGTTTGGACTCAAGAGACAGACACCCTCTCTACTTTTAAGATTAGTATTGAAACTTTCCTTTTTGATAAAGAATATAGATAAGGCTGGGTCTGACTGTTAGGGTCTTTATGGCTTCTTCATCTTCTGATGTAAAGTGCCTTGAGGCATCTGTTGTGATTTGCTACATAAATAAAATCAAATGTGATTGAACTATTTGAACCAACGAACCACGGCTCTGTTTTCCATATGAATCCAAAAAACACAAAAACAAGTTTGTAAGGCAGACAGCGTTCCATTTAAAAAGGCTTTTTTTGGCACAGTGTCTGCTGAAATCAGAACACATAGCAAAGACAAAATTAACTATAACAAGCTTCCTGCTCACCTGTCACTCCAGGCTCCTTTCCATTCAATCTTACCCCAGGGGTTTCTCATACGGATCAGAGGAATGGTTTCATTCTTGAAGTAGGCCAGCAGCCCATGACCCAAACGAACCCTCTTCACTGCAGTTACTGAGTACGCATGGCCTTTCACGAGCCCGTTTATCATCTTGAGCTCAATTTCATGAGGCTGTGCCTGTAATATTTTGCAAACAATTACTATCGGCATGTTTAAAGTGCTTAAAACACAAAGACGTGTATATTCAGAAACAGCACAGACCCTGATGGAGCAGCTTATGATTCCTCCTCGGTCGTACACCTTCAGCAGGTCATCAAAAAGCTTGTCTTGTTTTCCTTGGTCCTTATAAAATTGCCCTTCTTCTAGGCTGATGGCTTCAGATACAGCTCCACTGAAATCCACCACAGCATCACCAGTGTTTCCGCCCTCAAGGGACTGATAGCAGCCAGAGAGCCTGGGCACAGATGGTGTAAGAAATGCAGAAGTTTAGTTCAAAGCATTATAAATGCAGACGGGACCTAAAACTAAACCAAGTAAGAGTCTCCCCCCCAATCAGGCTATTTAAAGTATACTGACTTTGCATAGGCCTTTTCCAGCAGAGCACTCCAGAATTCGTTGGGGTCTTTCGAGTGGCAGTAGATGAGTTCTTCATTGATCGTAGGGAGTCGGTCATCGACCACCACGTCGATCCACTCACCAAAGATCCAGAACTGAAAGTGGAAGATTCCTGCGTAGTTCTCGGGGTGTTTGTCATCCCACTCCTGCTCCTTCCAGTCAGGAATCACCTGATTTGGCATGCGACATCACCCAAAATGAAATGTGCCCACAACAGATAGATTTGAACAAAATCACCAAAACATAAACATACTATAGTTTAGTATACACTATAACGAGTTCAACAAAACCCTTTAAATTACATCTTTGCTCATAAAGCGCTGAGTGCACGCAGAATTCAGACAAAAGATCTGCAGTTCTACACAGTATAGTGGAAGTATGCCTATTTAGTTCACATTATCTCATGACCAATAAATGCAGGTGTTGTAGTGTTTTATGTGTGTTATAAAATCAAACGTTTGCAGTGGATGGAACATACATAACGCTGTAATAAAGAATTGGCCATTAAGTTCTCTAGTTGTACCAACCCCAGGGATTTGAGAACATATAATGTGGAGTGGGTAAGACAAAATAAGTGACATAGAATGCATAGCTGATGTATCCTCACACTTTCAGTTTTTCTTCCTCTGCTCATTTCTTGCAACTAAAATGTGGAAAAAAGGTGAAAGATTTCTACAAAGGACTAAAACTTTTTGGTTGACATTTATTCTCCATCGCTAAGCCCCTCCAGTTCCTCTTCAGGTTTCCCTCTTTTCCCTCTTCTTCTTTGATTTGTATTTTATTTAAAAAAAAAGATAAACCCAATACAGTCAAGTTTCACAGACAATTTTCTAAATAGCTGAATTTTGTATCTCTCAGGTTTCATAGTCCCTTTGCCCTTAGTTATTAGCAAAGTTACAGTACAATATAATATGTTTGTCTGCCAGATATATTGAATATATCCATGGGAGAACTTCCTTCCTGAAACGAATACCCTGCTGCTATAGTTACAGTATTTAAGTTTTATTAATGTACAGTTATCAACTTTAACGCACCAACTCCTCGACACCCACATTAAGAATAAAGCAACAAAGTTAACACACCTTCTGCCAGAGCTTTGGCTTCAAGGCCAGACAAGAGCAGGCTGCAACAAACCAGCAGTTTCCCACAACTCCCTGGTTCAAATCATGGGAGCTGATGCCCTCAACAAACAGATGAGGTTTTTTACTTATCTCCTACAACAGAGAAAATAACATGACAGACTGTTAAGACTTTAACAGTATTGAAAAAAAGTATAATTATAGGTTTAGTTTTTTTCTTTTCTTACATGCTGTCTTAAAAACAAACATGTGGCTTGATGGATATTAGCCTTGGCCACTTACCGCAGGTCGTTTCCACTTTACCCTACCAGGAGGTGGTTTGTTATAATAGAGTGAAGCGTTGGTGGCTGGAAACTCTGGATCCTCAAACAGCGTCTTGTTCCTGATGCAGTCATTCTTCAAGTCAGCGTAGTGCTGTTTTTTGTACGGCTTCACCGAGGAGACCATCGTGCTGAAGCCTCACAGCTGCAGATCGATGAGAGACACCAGACATTTTCAGACTATGTAAAGGAGGAGGTCCCAAAGCTGATCGCTATTGGGCAAATCCAGCTGAAACTGTTCTCGTAAATCTCAGCGTTGTTTCATTGCCAGATCATAGCAGACTGACCTTTGACCCAAAGTCCCTTGAGACAGTCTAGGTTTACTGATGAGCATACGATGTTTACATAGCAATATGCAACTTTCTTATTAACTATATTCTAAAACAGGAAATGAAAACTTTACAGTTAGAACACAGATTAAAAAAAATGAAACATTTGATGTAAAGGGATTTTTAATCATCTGATGAGCTGCAGTTTTCTGATTGAATCAAGTGTTTTACACTGATTTAGATCCATCAATAGTGTTTGAAATCTTAAGAGAAAGTAAATAAAAATACATCACATATCATTCAAAGATCAACAGCAGTGACAATATTTGTGGCCAAAAGACTTTATGTAAACTGGCACGTATTGTGAGAATAATATTAATTATATTAAGGCTACATTTTACTTTGTGACAGAGGGAGTGATCATCATCACAGCTGTTTTCTCCAGGGAATGACTCTTGAACTCTTTGTCCCACTCATGTCAACTTCTGAGTGCTGTGTTTAGTCAGCATGAGCCAAAATAATTAGTTTTGATAAAGCTTGATATTTCATTTTTGCCATGAATAACACACCACAGTGTACCAAATATCCTTTACTGGAAGCAACAAGCATTGAATTAAGAAACACTTTGTAACTGTTTCTTTATAAAATCAAACAAGTTAAAAAAAAAACAGGGCAGGACAGGACAGGAAAAATGATTTAGAGTGTGCACAGATCTAGCAGACAGACAGAAAGAATCGAGCTAACTCCAAAACGTAAAGAATGAGAATTTTCAGATTTTTCTATAAAGTTCAAAATCATTACAGATAACTCATTGAAGACAAGAAAACATATCTGCACTATACCTCTCAGACGGCAGGTGTGCACCTATAACTTCCTGGTCAACAACAAGGAAGTTTCCAGGTGTTGTACTTGCCTGTGTCTGAGAGCCACACCCCGGTTGTTATTGTTCTTACTGCACTGGATCTTATCGCCTTGGCATTTTACTGTTTGACCCGAATACTTTGTGATGTCATGACTCCCAGATTTCTGAAATGGATTAATAAATCATTCTGTGTCTGTGGGTAAGGGAGTACACAGAGTTGTTGGTGAGTTTGTGCTTGTGTGACTGTTATCGGTTTGAGAGTTCTTGGCTAAAGCGCTCAGACAGGCTATTTTTGGTTGGTTATTCCATTTACTCTGTTTTTTTTAAAGGAATATAAGTGTTTACATGATGAAAACATTTGTTTCTCAACAGCACTTTGCAAGATTATGTCTCATACTGTCCTTTTAATCTGTATAATAAGTGAATGGCAGTTGACATTCCCCCCATATCCGGCATATCTGCCGGCACGTGACAGTGTTGTTAGAGATACAGTTCAGTGTTTTAGTTTCATACCACAAAACCCCCCCAAAAACTAAAGCATTTTATAGTCTGAGTTTATGCTGATTTGTGCCTGGGTAAATGTAATTATTATATTGTTGTAAAAATTACTTTTAAATGGTATCAGTGTGTTACACAGTAAAAATGGCTGCTGGCCAAAACAAAGATAAATCTGAGCCATTCAGTAAAAAAAAAACAAAAAAACAAAAAAAAAAAAAAAACCCAGATGCAGTAAATCCCATGAATCCACAGTAAACCACATATACTTGTTGAATGTTAAAACTGAAAGCACTTAAGTGCTTAAAATCTTAAGAGCAACACTCACCTGTCGTCTTGTCCTTGCAGTGATGGGCTCAAACACATCCAATCGTCCCGTGGGGGCTCCTGTGAGAGCTGTTTAAAGATCAGTCCCAAACTCGACACTGCAAGTTGTCCGGTCCTTTCATAAAGTGTGCAATCTGGTTTATCTTTTTTTCAGAACTAGATGCCGTTTCTTGAGTTTTAACTTGTAGCACCGAGCGCTTCCGTAAAGAGTAACACATAACACAGTGCCTGAGAACTGGTCTGACGAGCACCTCTGCAGCAGGAGGTGTTAGGCTGACATGGTGATTGGAAGGTGGGAGGGACGGTGGGAGACTGAAACTGAATACTTTCGGTACTACCACCCAGCCCCACTAAGGTGCAGCAAGTATGAACCTGCCCTGTTTTTTCCTTAAACATTAAAACTTAGATTTAACAAACATCCAAACACTGTGTCTCCGTGATGTAGTGTTGCATATCTCTGCTAAGAAACAAAAAAAACAACAACTTGCATTATTGTTCTTTAACTTTTACCATGTCTAATTGAATAAACATAACTAATAAGCCATATGTTATCCTTGCACTTTAAGTGAACTGTGGTAATAGGACAAACTGGCAGGCACTGAGTGTTCTGGGCTTAAAAAGCACAAGAAACACTTTGACTTCCCCTGACTGAGAAAAATCTTGAGTGGCTAAATCCAGGCTCGAAACTGAGGAAAAACTGAGCCAACATTAATAAGGTAAATCCACGAAGGAGTAAAGGAGACAGGCCAAAAAAGAAACTGAACAGATTTTCAAAATAACAATAAATCATCTGGATTAGCTGTGATATGAGAAAATACCAAACATGAGTTTCTGATGTGATAGATAACGAGAATGAGTGTATCAGTGAGCAGGGTGATATCTAGACACACACCATATGACATGAGATTGTTTGAAAAGAAGGAAACACTTCCTGTGGTAGAAACGGGGGGCCAGATCGACGCTGTCATAACTTAAATAGTGAAGATTTTAATGAGCGCCGTCTCATGGTTTCTTCAGTAAATGAGTCACGAGGTCAGCGCTGTCAAAGCCCTCTTCCTCGTGGGAATGTATAACCGTCAGATATAAACATTTGTTTGCCACAGAAAACACGCATGCGAGGGTGGAGTAATCACAGAAGTGTAGTTACATATCACCACTTAAAGGAGAGATTTAAATTGATCTGTTTTATCTACATCATATTTACATTGTGTCATAAAATTGGAAAAATAAAGACAGTGAGAAATAATCCTTTCTGGAACGTTTTCACAGGTTCTGTGAAAACTTAAGTACACCCGATGACTCAGCAGCTTGTAGAACCACCTCAAGCAGGGATGGATGTGGAGCTTTACTAAATGACGTGTCCTTTGTGGTGTCACAGAGGATGATGTTATGCCAATTACAAACTAAGATGGACAAACCGTCACACCCTCTCCGTGACGTGCTGGATGGTCACAGGAGCACATTCTGCAAACGACTCATTCTATTGCAATGCACTACAGAAGCTTACAGGAAATCATTCCTACCTGTTATACAGCTCCCCCTCTAAGGTAGCTGCACTGTTTTTGCTTTCAGTATCTTGTATATATTGAAAGAGAAAATATATGGATATTGTGTGTTGTTCAACTTTGGAGCATTTATTTAGACACTTTCCCCCCCATCTTATATTTTAATTAAGTCTGTGTAACAAAGGGAATGATGGAAGGGATTAGTGATGTATTATTTTCTGTATGACTATCAGTCTCTAACGTCACTGTGAAGGAATTCTGGCTCTTCACAACATTGCAGGACATCACTCTTAAGGTCCTGCTGCAGCATCTCAGTCTGCTGTGGCCTCAACTCTTTTCTGGGCTTCTTTTCTTCTTTTTTTTTTAGCCATTCTGTTGTAGATTTGATCACTTCAAAATATCAACAAACAAAACCGGGGCTCCATACATACTTTGGTCTATAGTCACAGTCCTCTCAGGATGACTCTGACCTGCTGAAACGATCTCAAAACCGTAATAAAAGTACAAACGTGGCGCAAAGGTTTTTTTGAATTTTTGCCGAGTGCAATCATGTTCTCTTGAGAATGGCTCTTTTTACTTTAAACTTTACATTTACAAGCCTATTGCTGTGGCTCCAGAAGATATTTCAGTGTTTTACAGCTTCCAGTAATGTAATATTGTGAAGTCTGAAGAGTATCACAGCTGCTTAAACTATAAGAGCAGATTTTTGTGTCTTTACAAAAGCACTCACCATCAGCCCCACCCCCACAGTACATGCCATAAATAGTCATCCTTTTCGCAAACCAGGCACATATCTACATTTGAATTTCTTTACTAAGGAAGCTGCTTACAATAGAGGATTTCTTGTTTAGTCTGATCTGAACAATGAACAACCCCGATGGATCTTGTGACATTACGCAGTTTCACTTCTTTGGCAAGTTTTAGAGTCATTACACAAAAATCTTTTCTGCGGGTTTTACATTTTTAACATTCTTTTTAAGGAAAAAAAAGAACCTGTCAAACATTTACAGTCGTTTTAAAAGGTGAGATAGTGTAAATGATACGTTTCTGTTGATCTTCCTCCTCGTTCTGAAACATGCCCATTTAAAAGTCAGAGTGGAATTCAAATGTTTATTTTTGTGGGGTGCCTCTTGAATGAACCTTTAACTTCATTAGAGCAAACAACAGCCAGCAGATGGCAGGAGATTCATATGGCAACAAACGACAGCCAGCATCTCAGCAGGTTTTGTTAAAAATCTGTGTTTGTAGTGCCATTCTTGAGTCTTACAGAAGAGAGCGCCACTGTAGAGTCTTTGATGCTGGGAGGCGGCCACGTTCTCCAGCACAGCACAAAAAAAAATTCTGTAGTCATGATCCAGACAGAAGCTGGTGTAATGGCTTTACATTAAAAACCTTTAATATTTAATATAGTTTTATAGTGTGGATTAAAAATTAAGTGCACTTATGTGACTAAGCAATTATTGTACAGCACTATCATTAAATTCCATAGTTTAGATAGGCGTAAGGGTGAGTGGGTGTTGTTGCAAGTATAATGAATGCACAAACGGCGCTTGATGACAGTGACAATTATGGGGATATGTTTGTACCAACTGTGAAAATCTGAAGCAGTCACTTTTGCATAAATCCAGACTGTTTATTTATGGCCAGTATTTCAGAGTTATTAAAACCTGACATGCACTCCCTGGCCCATTTTCTTAGGCACATCTGTTCAATTGCTCCTTAAAGAAAATGTTGAATCAGCCAATCACATAGCAGTTCCTCAGAGCACACAGTCAAGATAACCTCCTGAAGTTCACACCAAGCATCAGAATTAAGGGAAAAGGGTCATTTAAGTGACTTTGAAGGTGGCTCAGTTGTTGATACCAGACAGGCTGTTCTGAGCATTTCGGAAACTGATCTACTGGGATTATCCTTCATAACCGTCTCTACGGTTTACAGATAATAATCATAAAACAAAAATATCCAGTGAGCAGCAGTTCTCTAGGCGACAATACCTCGTTGATGCCAGAAACCAGACTGCTTTGAGCTAACTGGAAGGTAAAAATAACTCTGGTAACTACTGGTTCCAACCAGGATGTATTCAGAAGAGCGTCTCTGAACACACCAAAAGCATCAGATGGTCTACAGCAGCAAAAGACCACACGGGCAACACTCTTAAGAACTGAAACTACAACAAAATTTGCACAGGCTCACCAAAACTGGACAACAGACTGGAAAATGTTGCCTGGTCTAATGAGTCTTTGCACTTGGATGGTGGGATCAGAATTTGGCATAAGCATAAAAACGTAGCCTTGTGTCAATGGTTCAAGCTTGTAGCATCAGTGTGGAGGATATTTTCTTGACGAACTCTTAAGTATTGTTTAATTGCCACAATCTACCCAAGTACTGTTGCTAACCATGTTCATCCCTTTATGATCACAGTTTGCCCATTTTCTGATGGTTGCTTTCCACAGGATAACACGCCAAACCTTTGAGATGTGGAAGAACGGGAGATGCACATCATAGACATGAAGCTGCAAATCTGCAGCAATTGTCAATATGGAACAAAATCTGATGACCAACTTGTTGGATCGGTACCATGGAGAACAAAGGGCAGCTCTGAAGGCAAAAGGAGCATTGAAGCCAGCGCTAGGAAGGTGTAACTAATGAAGTGGCCGGTTCTTTCTCCACAAATATTTGACTCTGTCCAGCTCACGAATTCTGAAAAATCTTGATGACTACAACACATATACTAACTTGCCAGCCTGACACTACTGGCAGCTGATCAGCTGTTTGATATATTAGGGCACAGCTGACAATGAGAAAGGCATTTCTTGTTCCCATGGTGATGAAAATGCTTATGGAGAGGGATCCACAATGAGAACAATTACTATTTTTACATTAGTCCTTTATTTTTATGTCTCCCAGCACACACACACTCCACTTTTCATATTTCCTATTAGTTTTCTGCTGTTACAGTAATAAAAAGAAACTCAACAACCAGAAAGGTGAAATACAATCGTTTTTAATTGCAAAAAGGATACCGGTTAATACATTGAATGAAGCACTGAAACAAGCCACTGTGACATTGCAAAATACCACTAAAAAGGACATTGTAAAATTTCAGAGAAACAAAATAAAGTCATTCATTCGATCAGAAAGGCATACATATGAAAGAGCGAACAGGAGGGGAGCATATTTACACCACAACCGAGAGTCCTGTGTCTCTACAAAACAAAGTGTGTTTGGAGGCCTCCTCATTTAAGACGTTTAAAAATGTTTTTACAAATGGCCGTTAACAAAGTACAAGCCTGTTATGCCCCAGTTTAACTTTCTATCAAAAGATGTTAATTTTAAAAAGAAAAAAAGAAGAAAGAAAAGACGGGGGGGGGAAAAAAAGGCACCATCCATCTTACATGGCGGCATCTGGTTTACACAAGTCAACCAAAGTACTGTGGTAAGCGTTTTGTATGCTGTAAGTATTAAGCTGCAGAAAACTCAAGCTGACGAGAACAGTATTAGCACGTTAAGTTTTACAGAACTAAGTGTTTGAGAAGACTGACAACAAACAGGGTCTTTTGTACAAAAAAAAAATTAAAAACAATTGGTGAAGTGAGGTGTCCCTGCTGTTGGATTAGCTGATAATGTTACAGTAGCTGTTTTGCTGGTTTAACAGCGCTCCCTGCAGGAGAAAGAGTGTAGGACACAGCACCAGATAGTGTTGCTTTAGCCCATTAC